CAGGAAAGCTGACGTTGTCTAGGCCCGAAACATCAGCTTTCCTGCTCCTCTGATGCTGCTTGGCCTGCTGTGTTCATCCAGCTCTACACCTTGCTAGCTAGTGAAATAGTTAGCTTTAATTTTCGAATACTCATCAAATTCAGGGAAGGTCCTTTTGGAAGGATATAGTTAATATTAACTCCTTTACTCAAAGACAGAAGGAGGCAGAAAGCAGGAAATTACAGGCCAGTTAGCTTAACATCAGTCATAATGAAAATGTTAGAAGCTATTATTAAAGATCTAATAACGGGTCATTTGGTTAAGTTTGAGGTAATCAGGCAGAGTCTACATGGTTTTGTCACAGAAATCATGTTTAACTAATTTACTGGGGTTCTTTGAAGAAGTAACTTGTGCTGTAGATAAAGGTGAACCAGTGGATGTATTGTATTTAGAGTTCCAGAAGGCATTTGACAGGGTGTACATTTAAGGTTATTGTAGAAAATAAAACTCAATGTAGAGGGTAATATATTGGCAAAGGGGAGAAGGCTGGCTTGCTAACAAAGCAGAGAGTAGGAATAGAGACAAAAGAAAACTGCAGATGCTGGAATCCAAGGTAGACAAACTGGAGGCTGGAAGAACACAGCAAACCAGGCAGCATCTGGAGGAAAGGAAGTCAACATTTCGGGTATTACCCTTCTTTAGGAATAAATGGGTCCTTTTCAGGCTAGTAGGATGTTAAATGGTGTGCGATACAGGTTGGTGCACAGGCCTCAGCTCTTTACGAATCAGATAGGTGATTGAGATGAAGGGATTTGAAGGCATAATAGTTAAATTTGCATTTGACAAAAATGGATACGAAAGTCAGCCAGTAAGAGGATATAAGAAGCCTACAAAAGAGTATTAGATAGGTTAAGTGAGAGGGCAAAGAACTGGCAAATAGAATATAATATGGTAAAGTGCGAACATGTCCATTTTAGCAGAAGGAATAAAGTCACTTTAAATGGTGACAAGTTGCAGGGTTCTGAGATGCAAAGAGATCTGGGTGTCCCAGTGCATGAATCACAGGAGGTTAGCATGCAGGTAATCAGGAAAGCTAATAGAATGTTATGCTTTATTATAAGGGGAACTGAAGGCAAGACTAGGGATGTTGTGCTGCTGTTACACAGGGCATTAGTTAGACTGTGTCTGGAGTACTGTATACAGTATTGGACACTGTACTTAGGGAAGGAAGTTAATGCATTGGAAACAGATCAGCGAAGGTTTACTTTACTAACATGTGGAATCAGTGGACTGTCTTATAAGGAGAGGGTTGACAGGCTAGGCCTGTATCCTCTGGAGTTTAGACGAGTCTTTAAAGTGAAACATAAGATCCTGAGGGGATTCGACTGGGTAGATGTTGAAATTGTACTTTCTCTCATGGAAGAATCTACAACTAGAGATCATATTTTAAATAATAAGGAGGTGCCCATTTTAAAAACAAAGGGCTGAGGTAACACTTTCTCTCAGAAGGTTGACAGTCTTTGGAATTCCCTTCCTCAAAACACAATGGATTCAGAATCTTTAGATATTTTTAAGGGAGGGGTGGATAGATTCTTTATTACCAAGGGGATGAAAGATTATTGGTATATACAGGAACATAGAGTTGAGGTTAACATCAGATTAGTTGTGATCTTATTGAATGGTGGACAGGCTTGAAGTGATAGATGGTCTACGCTCATTCCTTGTTTGTACATTATCAATCTTATTGCTTTTCTTTAACATTCCAAATTGCCACTTTGTTCAATTCTTTGAAGGAGCTTGCCTCTTTGCTTTTAGTTTTAATCATAGATACTCAGCTAAGATGCTAACCTGCTTTTTCCTTTTAAATATGCTAGCAGACCTACTTTTTGCTTCACTTACAAACTCTTAGTTTTCATCCTGATTCCACCATCTAAACCTTTTGAGAGTATCAACTTTTGCAGACTTCCAGCAATTGAAAATATCTAAGTTTCAGAAGTTCTGACTTACCAGTCACACCCTAAATTTATTACCACAGATAAATTTCCTTAAAACTGGTAAAAGCCTAGCTTTATTGCCCAGAAAGAAACAGGAGCTTTATAGGATTAGATGTTAACTGATAAACAAGTTTTATGGGAAAGCAATGCAATCAGGTTAAACCTATATAAAAGATGTGATCTCACTGAATGAGCTTATGATACAGTTAAGTTTAGCTAGTTTAAATTTTATAAACATCCCATGCTGCTGGTGAAATCCAGATTATCAAATGAAATGTTAACTGCCAAAATGTTTGGTATTTGTTTCTGAATTCTAGCATTTACAGTTTTTTCTATTGGAAAATTACGCCATTAGCTAAGCTTCAATCTCTTTAGCCCAGCTGCCATCTGCTGGAGCAGTTTTGACTTAGATATTGAGTTATCTCTGTTGTAGTTTCATTTATCAGCAGTTTGTATAAGGGAAATATAATCCTTCAATTGAAAGCTATTAATGATTTTATTTTGTGCTTTAGCTTTATTTTCACATTATTTTCACCTGATCCTTCTGTTATTAAAAAGTCGCTGCTCCCTGAAGTTTGATCATTTATTTTTTGGTATCTTTCCAGGCAGTCATAATTTAACTTTGAGTCTTGGCATTGCCATCAGCAGAATCATCTGCTTTGCATAGTTCAAGGGCTCACTAGATTAAGCAAACAAGTATAGGTCACGGAAGTCAATTAGCCTATTTGGCTCAATTTTCCACAGAAATCCCATCAATAAATCTAACTAGCTCTGAATTAAATATTTATAAACTTTGCTGAAGTGCCCTCAAATTACACTAATTTCAGAGTCGAAGTTTCTGAAATTTTCTAAACTTTCCTCCTGATCCTTGTAATTTTGGCACTTGAGATCAGCTGTATTGCATTGTGGTCAGAGTTTCCTGTGTGCTTTTCTGACCGGAAGAGAATGTGGTGCTCAAAGTGCCATTTGATCTGGGCAAGCTGAAACTTCAGCATGATAGTCTCAGAACTGTACTCTGTAATATGATTTGACAATAATATTACTCTGCTCATTTCACTGATCCATACTCCTACAATGGTTGGTTCAGCTTATGATCACTCCCATAGTCAGCATCTCCTCAAACAAATTCAATAACAACCTCTCCTACTGTGATCACTAAACATGTGAATTTCTATTTAGTAACTGAAAACATGAAAATTTAAGAAACATTTATACATGATTAATTAGCTAGTTTGCCTGTTTCAAAATGTTTCCTGCTTGCTTCTAGGATTTGATTTCTTGAAATAAAATATTCCTTTTTTATATAAAGGCCATCTTTATTTTCTGTGCATTTGAACAAGCCAGAAGTAAAATTTTAAATTTGGGAATGGCTGAGAATTTGAGATACACCAGTATTATTACTTATCAAAAGGAAGAAAATACATGAAAATATAAGTGTAAGTGTGAGGCACAAATCAGGAGTTAATTATTCAGCCTTGCAATAGAATCATTGATGTATTTTGAGACAAAACCATAATAAATAAAAGCATGCTATTTTAGTTTGCATGGATTGATCTAGACGACACCTTAAGGCATTTCCAGTGAGGATTTTAATTTTAGAAAGACAGAGAAGGAGTCAAAGAAAAATAAATTGTATGAAAGTAAAGAGAGCTTTTATAGCACAATCACATCCTCAGAATATGATGAAGCATTCTAACAACAAACTATGTTTGAAATGTAGGTGCTCTGATATAAAC